TGCGATTCGAGCACCACTTTTCCCTCGGGGCGCTCCTAGGGCCAGCGAGAGGAGAGTGATGCTGGAAAGCTCTGGATCAGAAGCGCCTGCTTTGTCGCCTCTCTGAAGCTGATGCGCTACCTGCGCGCGCGGAGCACCCCCCGGGTTCTCGAGGGCCCAAGATCGTAGTTGAGGGGCCGCATGTCTAGGGGCGGCGTTTGTGCAGTCGTGGGTGATTTCTGTCGATTCTGTACTCCTTGGCGCAAGCGCGCGCAGTTCGTTTGTGGCAACATGCCGCGAGCCGACCTTCTCAGCCTTGAGCGCAGGCGCGGAGTGTGGAGGCACCCGCGGCTTCTGCAGCGCCAGCCAGCAGAAGCACCACCAGTTAGAGGGGTCGGCCAGGACCAAACGAGCACAGCCGCGCCCTAGCCAGCTGTGCAAATAGGTCGCGCACTCTCTCCCGCATAGAGTCCGTCATGCACGCGCAAACTTCGCAAACCTCGCGCTCGCGACCCACCCGCCCTCGGCTTCGCCACCCCCGAGCTAATCCATCAAATCTAATTCGAGAGCTACCCTTTTTGAGCAGTTTTCTTGATTTTTCAACGTTTGGCCCGCGGGCGACGGGCGACGCCCCGCAATTCCATTCGGCGGCAGGGTCGCAGCCGCCGAAACGCGCGCGACTCCCACGAGACGCATCCTCTCCGCAGGGAAAGAACTCCATGATAGTGAAGTGCGCGCAGAGCTACCTACGGGCTCGCGCTAAACGGCGCGACTTCTGAAGGGTTCATCGCAGCCGCTGCTCCTTCTCATGCCTGCCGCTCGCCCCCCCGCCCCCCCACCCCCGCGCTCCGTTGATGGGATCCACGGGCGCTGGTCAGCAATGCCGCTCGGCGGCGGGGTCGCGGCTGCCAGGGCGCGCGTGGCATCCGCGCGCCGCATCTTCTCCGCAGAGAGAGAGAGAGAGAGAGAGAGAGAGAGAGAGAGAGAGAAAGAGAAAAAAACAAACTCAATGCTAGATGCATATTGCATAAAGAATGCACATCGTATGCTATGCCACCTAGATTCCCTTCTCTAGATAAAGTCGACTCTACCCCCCCGGATGATCTGTTCCCTTTTTCGTTTTGCACTTTACGTATGATTCTGCCCCATCGTCCATCCTAAATATGAATTCGCACCATGCCAGCCAAGCCGGCGCCCGCCCTCCCCCTTTCTGCCGCCCCTTGCGACAAATATTACGCGCGAGCGTTCGTTGATTCAGAATCACATGTGGTCAAGAATCCCCGGCCAAAAATTTGGGCGAAGTGCGCGCGCATCGTCGCGCGCGCATGCCGAAATCCTTCAGAAAGCTTTCGGTGGGATTTCAATATCGAGCGCCCCCAAACAAACATATAAAACATACGGTTTCGCATCGCAGAGTTTCAAAGCAGCTCGGGGCTTCGCGCGCGCACGTCGAGATCGTTCGAATGCCCTTGCGCGCGTGCCGTCGCGAGGAACCTTTGCACGAAGCAGGATGAAGTGCACGTGCGCGCGTCGTCGCGCGCGCATGCCGAAATCCGTCGGAAACCGACGGTGTCGTAACGACGTCCAAACCCAGTGTCCCAAAAACAGATAAAGCACAGAGCGACCGCAACATCGGCTGTCAAAACAAAACCCGCGTCCGCGCTCTTGCGAATTCGTGAGGAAAGCATAAGTTGTTCAACATTGTCATGGCATTATGCCAACTGGGCCTCTCGCGCCGCATGCCGAAATCATTCGCGCGCCCTTGCGCCCGTGCGGGGGTGGCACGATCCGTGTCAAATACCGTGTCAAATAAAACCATGCGGGCCAATCTCGCGCGTGGGCCGCGCGCGCATGTCGAACTCTTTGCACAACCTTGATTGCCGACGCGAGGAGGCCGTCATCGTCGTCGGCGCGATCAGCATCGGCGCCCGCACTGGCCGCGCCGTCGTAGATGTCAACGTCGCCACCAGCATCGCTACTATTACCATCGTGTCTACCGTTGTCAACGTTGCCACGATACCGCGCCCAGCCAAATCGCCGACTTGCATTGAAGTGCCCGCTGGGATGTGCCCAGTGGCCAGTCAGCGCCGCCGCGGCCGCGTCGGTCGCGCCAAACTAGCTGGCCGCTGCGCGCGCGTGCTTGGGTTGGCGCGGCCGCATAGAAGGACCAGCGAACGCCAAGTACCCATCGCAATCGCCAGCGCGTGCGTTTTGCAAACCAAGTTGCGGGTGGGTGGGTGGGACGATTGAGTGAACAGTGGAGTTGACAACTCATTGCGAACAGAAATCAATTCTCCTTTCTGAAAGGAGAATAGACTCTACCCCCCCCCCCCCCGGCTTTATCCGCATCCCTTTCGGGCTTGTACATCATATATGATTATGACCACATGCCCATCCTAAATATGAATTTACACTATCCCCGGGGGGCGGGTATCGACCCCCTGAGGTTCCCTTGTAAAACGCACTATGCGCGGGGACACCTTTTGTTCGAACGTAATAAATTTCACGAATCCCTTGCAACGAATGGGACGAAGTGCACACGCGCGCGCCGTCGCGCGCGCATGCCGAAATCCTCCAAAAACCTCCGGTGCAGGAAGGATTGCGCAATCGAGATTCCAAAAAACATACAACAACACATGGTGTCGCAACATTGATTTGCTAAAACAGCTTACGCGCGAGCTCTTGCGAAATCTCAAATAAACCATAGCTTGTTTTCAATATGTTCACAACATGCTACCAAACGGGCTTCGCGCGCGGGCATGTCGAAATCTGTCGAACGCCCTTGCGCGTGTGCCGTCGCGACAATCCTCTGCAACAAATGGGACGAAGTGCAGACTCGCGCGTCGTCGCGCGCGTATTCCGAAATCCTTCCGAACCCATCGGTTCCGGAAGGAATTCCACATCGTGTGTCCCAAAAACCTACAAAAACACAAGGTTTCGCAACACGGATTTTCAACAAAAGCGTGCGCGCGCGCTCTTGCGTCGTCGTCGTCGTCGCCGTCCTCCCTTCTCCCGCGTCGTCGTCGTCGTCGCCTACGTCGTCCTCTGTCTTTCCCCGTGTTCGTCGTCGTCGTCGTCGTCCTCTTTGGCGTCGTGGTCGTTTCCGTCGTCGTTGTCGCCGTGGTCGTCGTTCCTCCTCCTCCCTCGTCGTCGTCGTCGTCCGTCGTCGGCGTCTCGTCGTCGTCCCTCCTATTTCGTCGCCGTCGTCGTCGTCGTCGTCGTCGTTGTCGTCGTCGTCGTCTTCCCTCCTCCCTCGTCGTTGTCGTCGTCGGCGTCGCCGTCCATCCTCCTTCTTCGTCGTTCGCGTCGTCGCCGTCCTCCCTCCTCCCTCGTCGTTGTCGTCGTTGTCGTCGTTGTCGTCGTTGTCGTCGTTGTCGTCGTTGTCGCCGTCGTCGTCCTCCCTCCTCCCTCGTCGTCGTCTTCGTTGGCGACGTCGTCGTCGTCTTCGTCTTCGTCGTCGGTGTCGTCGTCGACGTCGGCGTCGGCGTTGTCGTCGTCGTCGTCGGCGTCGTCGTCGTCGTCTGTGTCGTCGTCGTCGTTGTCGTCGTCGAAGTCGTGGGAGACGTCGTCGGTGTCGTCGTAGTCGGTGTCGGCGGCGCCGTCGTCGTCGTTGTCGCTGTCGTCGTCGGCGTCGGTGTGGCCAAGTGCCACCTGGTACCTACCGTCACGGTCTTGTCTTAAGATGTCTTGCGACCAAGTTGCGGGTGGGAGGGTGGGATGTTTGCACGAGCAGTGGAGAGGACAGCTTCAAGACGGTCAAAGTGAATTGCACGACATAGAACGCACCACCAAGATTGCACATCATGTTTTGCTAGAACAACACGGTTTCGGGCACACACTGGCAATCATCGTATAGATTTTTTTGGAGCGAGATGGAGCCACACCTTGAAGACATCGGGTGTGACACACTCGTGAACTAATGTCAGATTCCGCTGGACACCGCATGAACATGTAGGAATGATCAGTTTGTTGATTAACATGTGCATAGCCAGTCCCTCCACCAACTCCTCGTTTGCTGCGGGCTGGTCGTAATATGATATATCGCAGTATTACAATGCAGTGCAGACTCGCATGGAGGCATTGATTACGCAGGTCTTTTGCGTAAGCGTTTCTACGGCATTGCCATATGTGGCCTGACAATGAGCTAATATGCATGTGTGGCGGGGCTCGGCCAGGAAGGAGCACTTGAGCGGAGGGTGGCGAGCACTATTCGTGCGGTTCGGTTCAAGTGGGAAAGATTGGAAACCTTGGGTAGAAGGGCGATATTCGCTTCAGTGAAAGGGAAGAGTGGACGGGATGTGGAGGTGGAGGTGGAGGAGGAGAAGGAGGAGGAGGAGGAGGGGAGGAAAAGGAAAAGGAGGAAGAGGGGGAGGAAGAGGAGGAGGAGGAGGAGGAGGAGGAGGGCACACCCAGACATGCGATGGACTGCTGTTGAATACGCGGGCCTCACGGAGTTCGACCCGTTCTACTGGGTCAGCTTTTCGTCCCGTTTCCATGTCTGTCTATCTCGGGTTTTGCCCGAAACCGCCCCCCCCCCAGGCCGAAGGAAAACACTGGAATATACAAAATAATCCGTTGGAGGTCTGGGTTTTCCCCCATTCAAATTCGACCGTTGGACCTTTCTTGGGATGTCTTGCGGCCAAAATGTCGAAGAGAATCCATCCCCGTGGCGATGAGAAGTCTGTCGGAGGCCCGGCGAGGGCAATAATCACTTAGAACGCTAGGATTTCATGAATCTTGGCGGCGTGCACAAGAGGGTGGCGCGAGGGGGTGAGCTTTTATGGAAGAGGGAACCTGATTGAAAGGGCTTGGGTGAGTTTCACTAGACATGGAAGCCGTGAGGTTCTAAGAACCCCCTGGCTTTCTTAGAAACCTCCGCCGAGGCCGCCCCCCTGGCGCCACCCTCTTTTGTGCGCGCTGACAGAAGTCATCCCGCCCGAATTCCCGAATTCCAGGGTTGTGGGGCGGCGCAGTCCTTCCTTGCTGGCAGACCGCCGCCGCCGCCCACCCGTTCCCGCCAGCTCGGGCTGCGGCAGCGCTACGGCGGCGACAACTGCGGGCCAGAGGCGCCGGGGCGGGGCGGGGGCCTCCGGCTTCGCCCCCCCAGAGGATCGAGATTTCCACCCAGGAAGGCGGGTCTCCATTCTTGAGGAAAGAAACTTCCAGAATACACCAAAAAAGGCATCTTGAATGAGTGTCCAGCTTTCGCGATTGAGGTTTTTGATAATCTTTTTTCCTCCCTCGACAGCGCTACATTTTTCTTGCCACAATTCTTTCTCTCGTAAGACTTCCAACCCGTGTAATTCTAGTTGGTAGCGGAGCTTGGGGTGATCCCAGCTCGCGATCCCCAGAATTTGCGCAGAGTGCGATGTGGACTCGCATGTCCCTTCGCCTCCGCATTGGTACCACGCTCCAATCCTTGAGCAGTTTGTGCATATGGCTGTTCTGCAAGTCTACGAAGCTTTCGCCCTGGACGCTCACGGACAAACGATCTCGTTCGAGTCGCTGTAAAGAACCAGCAGTGAGGGCAACAGCAATTGAAAGCGCCGTGAGCTTTGTGTCCGCCCATAGGGGTTCCACGACACCCCACAACCCACACAAACCCACAGGTCGCGGCCGTGGCGTCGCGTCGGGCATGTCAGCGAGCCATTCGCCTAGGCTAGTACCGTGCTTCGTGATATGTGTGCTACAGTGTTGGTTGTTTTTTATGCGCACACGTCGCACCAAACGAGTGGGACTTTACTGTAGAACGCTAGTGGGCCATATTCAACACCTTTGGCACCGACCAAGGCTGTCAACACAACTACGGCTGCCCCCAGGTTCGACATGGCTTTCGTCCCTGCGCAGGCCCGCGCCCTAAGGCGCCTCCGCATCTTTCATCGTCGTAGATTCTTCTCGAGGGCGATATCCATCTTAACGGTTTGGGGGGTCAGCATCCTCATTTTCTTCGTGGTCGTCTTTTCCTGGCTCGCCGGCATGATGCCTGGTGGAGCTCGCCCACGGGGCGGCGGAGGTGGTCGCGGTGGGAACACCTCCCGCAAGCCGCCCGCGTGGTCACCCGAGCGAGAGTCTGCGTATCATGCTCGCCACTGGGAACAGGACTTGCTCGCGTGGAGCGTGCTCGCCACGGACATGGAGAACGCTCAGCTGCGCGGTGCCATCATCCTCAACCTTGGCGGAGCCGCACGCGAGTTCACGCGATCAATGAACTTCGCGTAGATGACGGAGGGAGGCTTGGTGAATGACCAGCGCGAGGACGCCGTGACCGACCTCGTCGCGAGCCTCGCCATTCAGTTCGGCCCACTGGGCGAGGAGCCACGCCTCCAGGCTACCCGCGAGCTCTTTTAGCTCTCGCGGCTCCGCAACGAGACCACCAACGCGCTGCTCTCGCGGATCCTTGCGCTGCGATTCTGATTGCGCACAGCGGTGGAAACGCGGTGTCCCGGGAGCCCCCAAAAGGCCGCGGGAGGCCCCCAAGGGGAGCCCCAAGAGGCAAACATCGTCCCAGCTTCTTTGCTTCACGACGTCCAAGACGGCCCTAGAGGCTCCCAAGATCGCACCAGGACGGCCTGAGAGGCCCCAAAGAGTACTCCAGGACGGCCCAAAATGGCTCCAAGACGGCCCAAGAGAGACCCAAGACGGCTCAGGACGGGCCCCAGGGGGCCCCTAAAGATTCCCAAGAGAGCCCCAAGATGGCCACAGGATGCCACGCGAGGTCCCCGAGAGCGCCCCCAGAGCGCCTAAAGTCGGCCCAAGCCCGCCAAGACTGCCCAAGAGGGTCCCGGGGCGGCCCGAGAGGGCCCCAAGACGGCCCAAAAGAGTGCCAAAAGTATCCCCAGGAAGGCCCGGAAATTAAATATTCATTGATTGTCGCGCGGTTTGTTGCTAGATCTCTGCATGTCGTACTAAAGCCTTAGCGCCAGCACGGTCCGAGACGCTAGCCAGCGACTTCGCGCCCTCGCAGGAAGAACCCGCGCTTTCCGCCCCTGTGCCAAGCGGGTCCAATGGCCAGCAGGCACCCCCCGCATCCAATCGCACGGGGCCCCGAATGGGCACCTGGCGAAGGTCATCGACGATTTCGAAGGGGCCTTGCAGACACTGGGCGGCGCGCGCGACCGCAGCGCGCAACTGCGCGCTCGCGCCGACGGAGACGGAGACGGGGGCGGGGCGCGCGACGCCGGCAGCTGCCGCCTCTTCTGGGGGTGCTGAGCAGCGATCGACCCCCGGCTCTCGTGTAGTCGAGGACCCCATCCGCGGTCGCCCCGGCTTTACTCGCTGGGATACCAGCGCAGTGTCTCTGCCGCGCTCTCGCGATGGAGCTCGCGCCCTCGTGCGCTCGAGCCCTCGAGCAGCGCGGATGGCAGACTCGAGCGCCGCATCCAAGTTCAATGCTCTCTCTCTCTCTCTCTCTCTCTTTTCTTCTCTCTCTTTCTTTTCTCTCTCTCTCTCTCTCTTTCTCTCTCTCTCTCTCTCTCTCTCTCTCTCTCTCTCTCTCTCTCTCTCTCTCTCTCTCTCTCTCTCTCTCTCTCTCTCTCTCTCTCTCTCTCTCTCTCTAGTCTCGGCTCGAGAGTGCCCTGCACTCAGACCGCAGCCGCGACGCGAAGCGCCCCGCCTCGGAGTCAGACTCCCAGGCCTCGCGAGACCGGAGGGGTCCCAGCAGGGCCCTACTGATTCGCGTCACCTCTCCACACCAGAGTGCCCGCAGCAATGGCCCCCAAGAAGCCGGAGCGCCGTCGCTCTTCTAAGCAGCCTCCGAGCTCCCGTCCCACGCGCCCTGCTGCTGAAGGTTCTCTCCTTCAACGCAAGCAGGACTGCATCGCAGCGTTCAAGCAAGCGGGGTCTGACCGCCCCACGGCCGCCTACAACGGGCTTGCCGAACTGAACGCGGACGAGCTCCAGGCAACGTACGACATGCACAAGTCCAACACGAAGAAGCTTGGCAGCGCCCTGATCCGCATGTGCGCCGCCAACCAGATTAGCTACACGCTCGATCATCACCAGCGCAGCAAGCCTAAGCGCACTGGCGGTGACACATCACACCCACCAGCGGGTTCCGCACGTCTTCAGGCTGCGGACACCCAATTCATCGCCTTGGACCCTGCCTTTTGGAAGGTCCCTGTCCTTGCCGAACCCACCTCACCTGACGACGGCAAGACGTACAAGCCCAGCATCAGCCTCCACGATTACGAGAGTGGTGAACGGCTGCTGCAACACCACCTCGAGCAGGGCAAGCGAGCCACGGGTCAGCTCGCGATTGCTGTCATGGGCCCGAAAAACGACAACTACGTCGGTACCGAGCTCGCCGTCCCCGTCCTGAAGCGTCACCCCAAGGCGCCCAAAGTGGTCCACACGCACGTCCCCGTGACCGTGTACCAGCTGGGCACCAAGGAGGTCGCCTGCACGGAAAAAGTAGCCGTCGCCACCATCGACCCTGCCGACCACGTCTGCTGGATTCGGGCGACCATACACGAGACCGAGGCCATTGCCGCAGTCCCCTCCATGCACCAGGCCTTCGAGGACCAGTTCTCGGGAGGTGCCCCCGTGAACGGTGGTCCACGCGCCAAGGGCCCTTTTCGAGGGGACTCCGCTCCACAGGACAAGGCGCGCCAAAACCAAAAGCACAGGGAGTCCAAGAAAGACGCTCGCCGCCAGGAGCTCGATAGTCAGCTTCAGGACACCTTCAAGGCCCTCTTCCACGGCAACTTTAAAGCCGTCACCATCCTCGAACCCTGCAAAAGCCTAGGCAGGTTTGGATCGGGCGTCGGAAAGAGGTCCCTGGCTGCCACCTTCGGCGTCAGTCTCCAAGCGGTCGACAAGGTCCTGGCGGGATCAGGGCAACTCGGTGCCACCTACGACCTCAGCAATGTAGGTGCAGACGAGCCCACCGCCGACAAGTATCAGACCGTTTGGTTCCCTGAGGACCAGCCCATCACGATGGCAGACGCGTTCCAGAAGTCGGTGGAGTTCAAGGCCCTGGGAGTCGTCAGGCACGGCAAGTCAGGCCTACTGGGGATCCGTGTTCCACGGGGGTCCGACGTCGCCAAGGCCGCTGCTGTCAGCATCCGCGGCTGCGAGGCTACCCTCGCCAAGACGCGCTACCGCATCACTGGCATTGCGGCACGTCACGCCACGCTGACCCAGCTCGCCAAGACTCTCACGGGCCCGTCCGTTAAATGGGACTGTGAGGTCTACCACACCGCCTGGGACCCAGCCACTGCGGCCCAGTTTGCCTTAGTGCGCGCTCATCGGCCCCCACTCACCTATACGGTGCAGGTCGCGGGGTGCCCCATCCCGTGGAGCATCACCGAGGCCCCGCTGGCTGAGGTGGCGCCGAAGCGGGACAACGTTACCATCGTCACGCCTACCACCATCACAGAGCCTGTGACGCCGCCAGCCGGTGGTGGCGGCTTAGCCCCGCCACCGGCACACTCCTCACCAAAGCGGCCCAGAGCCCCTACCTCCGCGACCTCATGACTGCCACGCCCAAAGGCAAGGGCGTCGCACCGCTCCTGACCCCCAAGGAGGAGCCTTCATCCAAGCGCCACCGCTCCTCCAGCGGGAAACGTGACGCCACGCCGCACGCAAGGTCACCCTGCGCCCCAGGCCGCAGCTCCTCTGCACCCCCGCACGGCACGGACGGAGCCGCCGAACCGATGGCCGCCCCAGGATCAGGTGGCCATGACTCCTGGCTTGGCACGGCGGCGGCAGAAGGTGGGGACCACGCCGAAGGCGACGCTGCCACAGCCGCCGAAGTACCAGGCGACGTCGTCGACGTCGAGATCCTTTCATCAGGTGATGAATACAGCGTGGCCTCCCACGAACTCAACACCTTCGGCGAGCGCTTCGCATCGGCCTCTAAACCGCCCGATGCTGCCACGACCCGCATCCAGCACATGGAACAGCAGCACGAGCTGCTAGCCAACACGGTGGATAACATGCAGGTGCAGCTTGCGGGCGTTCTCTCCTCCCAGGCCACACTCACGGAGCACGTTTCAGGGCTGGAACGGGGGCTTGCCACCGTCGTCACCCAGCAACAGACGGCAACCGCCGACGCCGCTGCACTGCG